GCCGAGCCACTGGCACAGGCGGGCCGCACCGGCAGGGAGTACGTGATGCGCTCCGGCGGCGGCTTGGGGGACGCCGAGACGGGCAGCACCCAGCGGCCGGTGGCGGCGACCTCGGGGCGGTTGGGGAAGAGCGAGGCCACGTGGCCGTCGGGGCCGACGCCCAGGAGGATCTGGTCAAACACGGGCAGACCCTCGGCATCTGAAAATGGAAGTTGGGCGGTTGCCGGCAGGGAGGGCGTGCGCTTCAGACAAGAGTGTGTGAAGAGACGAGCCGGGCCTGAAGCAGGCCCACGGGCGCCCAGACCGCCGCCGCTGCCAAGCGTCGCCGCGGAAGCCGATGCTATGGGCCGCGGCGGCAAGGCGGGGCGAAGCTCACCGCGAGGCAGCACGCTGGCGGGCAGGCCCAGGAGCTGGCCCTCGTACTTGATGGCCGCCTGCTCCACTGTGAGGCCCTCTGAAATGGCCACAACCTGGGTTGTTACCAATGTGAACCCCGTGGCAAGGGAAAATGTCAACAGGCGGACTCGTTGTACAAGATTGTCGCGTTTCACTCGTATGTTGGTAACACAAACAGGCGTCGTACGGAACAACGCAAGCTAGAGCCGCAATCGCGGTCCTGCGCACAGCGTGGAGCAGCGCGCCCGGGTGCCGCAGACTGCCATGCGCAACCGAACTGAACCACGCATCCCCGTCACCCCTCACCTGCGCCGCCGGGATGGGCACGCGTGACAGCAGCGCCTCCTGCGCGCCCTTGTAGTTGCTGTCCGCGCTGCTGTGCGCCACGTTGCGCTCGTCCACGAAGAAGACCCACCACTTTGACCAGTCAACGCCCTTGACCTCCGCCAGGCCGGACAGCATGTTGAGCAGGCTGTGCAGGTTTGATGAGGGACGGCGCGCGCGAGTGGAACGGTGTGCGGAAAGGAGATGTGGTGATTGGTGTTGTGGATGTGGTTGTGCATGTGCATGTGCATGCACTACTAGTGTGCGCGCGTGCATGTGCTGAAAAGTGGCCGTCCTTGCGACAATGCTGTCATCAGGGTGCAGCGCACATGGCTAGCGAAACTGTCGGTGCCGCTATTCGAAGATCGGTGCACGTCTGCTTTACGGGCAGTCTTGCCGGTCCCCGGAGAGCGCAACGTTTGTGGTTCCCTCTGGCCCCGCTCAAAACCCGTTCAGCACTGGCGACGGCCGGCGGGTTCTGCAGCGGGGCACGCGCATGCGATGCTTGCAGATGGTGCTCGTAAGCACTTGAACGTGCTTGCTTGCGTATGCGTGCATGCATGTATACATGTTTGTGCGTGTCAACAGAGTCAGTGATGGGTATATGCAGATAGCAACCTGTGTCTGTTGCTCTGTCATCGAATTGAATCATGCGACACTGGCGAGGTATGCACTACCCCCCTGTTGCCCTGGCCAACGCATCAGGGCACCCTGCATGAGAAGCGAGGGGCGCGAGACAACGGTTAGCCCCGCCCACCTGCCGCCCGACAGCACCAGGGTGAACGAGCCCTTCGCCTTGATGGCGGCGGCCGCGGCGTCGCTCACGAGCTTGGCCAGCCCCTTGGCGGCGTTCTTGGGGGTCGCGTAAATGATGACCTGGTGGGTGGGTTGTTGTCGGTTGGTTGCGTGAGCGGGCCAGTGTCGATTCGACTTGCGCTTGGGGGGAGTTGGTGTCTTGCATCAATGCTTGCCCAGGAACACAAGGGTGCTTATGAGAAGAGAGGAAGGTGCATATGAGGTCTGTCGGTGCCGCTATTCGAAGATCGGTGCACGCCTGCTTTTCGGGCAGTCTTGCCGGTCCCCGGAGAGCGCAACGTTTGGCGTTCCCTCTGGCCCCGCTCAAAACCCGGGCGGCACTGGCGGCGGCCGGCGGGTTCTGCAGCGGGGCGGTCCTGACCACAAAACAGCTGCTAAGGCATGAGCTGCCTGCCGTGGGCCGCCGCGTGCCACCGGCGCAGGTGCTGCAGCAGCTGTTGCTCCCCCTTCCCGCAGACGCGACCCCGTCCCGGCTCCCGGAACCGCCCCTGGGCCCTGTGCCCCAGGCGCCGACATCGCCACGCGTGCCGAGGGCGTCCTCCGGCCGCGCGCCGGCGCATTCCACTCCGTCCCCTGGGCTGCCCGTCCTCGCCAGCTGCCGGGCGCACCTGCGCATCGCCCTCTCCGGGATACTGAAACTGGTGCACGTCCACATCCAGGCCCGCGCCCTTGCTGGTGCTGATGGGAGCAATGACGCCGCTAGCCATCAGGTGCGCTCCCTGCCAGAGGTTAGGGGCGCGGTCCGCATTTGGGGGGTCGGTAGGAGTCGGGCCCGCCGCGGCGGCTGCCAAAGTATCAGAGCAACTGCAGGGCGGGCGCGTCAGCGTGCTGCATTAGGCGTGGTGGCGGCGACGAAGCCGCTGCGTTCGCAGCAGGTGCTTCAAGTGGCGGCGACGCACCATAACCGGGGGGATCCCCTTCTCCCACGAAGTCTTGGGGATGACGTTGATGAACGGCTGCTCGCGCTTGGCACCGTTGCCGTTGCCGTTGGCGCGCTTCGCCGCCGGCTCGGCAACCGCACGGACCACCACTGACGCGGCAGACGAAGGGCGCTTGAAGCTCGTCAGCGGGGTCCCGTGCTGTAACAACATTCTCTCCCCTGCGCGGTAGTGCCGGCACAAGGAGCGAGAGGTGGCCTCATTGCCTAGCATCATGAGTAGGAGCGGCGGCCCAGCGCGGCCTCAAAAGAAGGATCCAACATCATTATACATCACTTCAAGCTGGCAGCCGTCGCAGTCACCAGGCTCCAGATCGCCAGCTGCCAGCATTCGGCGCCCGCACCTGCTGCGTCCGAACGAGTACAACAATTGATGATGTAGTTATATCAGGGCAGATACCCGATACTCTGGCGATACTTGGGCACACTTGTGCCCCCTGCCCAGTAAGAGGAGCGGCTGCTCGAGCACTGCTGACAAGCTCTCATCCCTCACTGCATTCCTAATCTGCTGCCGCCTTGCACCCAACATCAGCCTGCTTCCAAAATATCAACGCATCCTCAATCCATTACAAAAAAACGTTGTCCCAGGTCGTTGCCATTCACAGTCAACGGAGATGCCCAAGGCTGCGGAGCACAGCCACTGCACCTGGTGATGAACCCACGAGCTTGTGTCACCACTCCCCGCATGACAGGGCGTTTGCTTTGGAAGGGGTGACAGGCATGACAGCCATGTCAAAGACTTTCAGATTGCCATCATGTGCACGGACAGGGGCGGAGCGACTACTGCTACGATGCACGGCGCGCCTGTGGCCCGCACACCGCAGGTCAAACGCAAGTTTGACTCCTGTCTGATGCAATACTGCGCGTGCTCAAAACACAACACGTCGCAAGACCTCGCGATGGTCACAGCGCCGGCCCTGAATGAATGACACAGCCCCAAACTTAACGGTCCGCAGTGCTGACAGCTTCCACAGCTCAGCTTCCCCCCGCCTGCCCCGCCTGACAACCGTCCTCTACCCTGTGCCGGTCCCTAGCTTTCTCAGCAGCTTGTCCCTGGCCTCGTAAAACCTGATGATGTCGCAGTCCGCCGCCGCATTGCCAGTGAGGTGCGGCTTGGCGGCAGCCAGGACCGACGCGCCCACTGACGTCATCAGATCCTGGAGCAACAGCTTTCCAGGGCTGCATTCCTCCTGCTGCTGCTGCTGCTGCCGCTGCTGCTGCGGCTGCGGCTGCTGCTGCTGCTGCTGCGACGGCACCAATCGGCGTTGCTGTTGCGGTTGCTGCTGCTGAGGACGCTGATCGACGGCGGGCTCCTTGCCCCAGCTTGACTCAGGCAGGATCTGCGGGCCGCAGCTGCTGGACATTAGAATCATCGGGCCCTCCTGCGGCTGCCAAGCCGAAGCCTGCTGCTGCTGGCCTGATTGTTTCTGCGGCTGCAGCAGCTGCTGCTGCTGCTGCTGCTGCTGCTGCTGCTGCTGCTGCTGCTGCTGCTGCTGCTGCTGCTGCTGCTGCTGCTGCTGCTGCTGGGCGGAGCGCGCCATGAGCTCCACCCACTGCTGAAAGTCCCTCTGCAGGCGCAGCCGGCTCCCCTCCAGCAGGTTCTGCAGGTGCTGCACCTCCCCCTTGAGCTGCCGCAGCCGGTCAAACGCGGAGGTGTAAGCGGCGCGCTCCTGCGGGCCGGAGGGTCAAACGGGTTGCGAGCGGCACGCGAGGCGCCGCGGGGATCCAGGCCAAGCACGTGGGGAGGCCTCGACGAAGCGTTCGACGGCCTGCTCCTGGCGCCAGCTGGCGCTGTCGAGTTTGGCCGCAACGGCCCCAAAAACGAAGTTCTGCAGCTGCCTCTTTGCACGAATTGGTAGTCTCCGGCTGTGAGGCTCACCGTTTCTATGCCCCCTTTGCAGCGCTCCTCCTCTGGGTCGGGCGCCGCCAGCTCGACGGCCGGGTCGCGGCCGCCAGCAACACCTAGAAATCCAAAGGAGAAGCCGCCGCCGCTTGCAAGTTGCAATCCATTGTATACGTGGGGTGCTGCGGGCGCAGCTCATGCAAACCCGAATGCTGCACCAGCCGCCTCCTGCGCTGCTTCCCATTACGCCCCGCCTGCGCCCCGCGACTCACATGCCGCGGAGCGCTGCATGCGCCGCTGCTCCAGCTCGGCGCGCAGCTGCCCGATGCGCGCCTTTGCCGCGTTGACGGCCGCGCCCATGGCCTTCGCCTCGTCGTACTTTGCTTTCAGGAGGCACTTATTCTCCTCTATGGCCTGTGAAATTGGGGACATGGTGGCAACATGCATCAAGTGGGGTGAGTTGGTGGGCTGCCTGCAGTGTCCAGCAGGGGTGGATCGCAGGGTACGTGAGGTGCAAGGTCAGTCAAGGGGTGGATCGCAGGGTGCGTAAGGTGCATGCTTGTTGGGGCTTGCATTGGCAAGATATGCGGTCGCACATCATTTGAAGCCTGGGCGCTCGGTGTGTGTGCAGGCGGTCGCGAAACCTCTGGCGCTGGCGTCGTTTTTGTGCCTGGCACTCCCAGCAAAAAGCAGGCTCAGTTGCACCAGGCGCATGGCGGAAGCTGTTGCCTCACCTCGTTGTGTTTGTAGCTCTTCCTGAAAGCTTCAAAGGCCTTGTTCCTGTCAGACAGCAGGTGCACGTCCAGCAGCGCAGACAGCACCTCGCAGCCGCCCCCATGGCGTGCCTGCTGCTGCTGATGCTGCTGGTCTCCGGTCTGCACCTGGTCGCTAGAGCTCTCACTGTCTTGGCCGCCCGCCACGGCTCCCTTCCCCGGGCTACCGCCGCCCCCGCAGCCAGGCTGCGCGCCAGGCAGCTGCAGCGCCGGCCGCCCGCCCGCGGCCTGGTGGCGCACGCCCACCAGGAGCGCTATCTCGCTGTCCCTCTGCTGCACCTGCAGCCGCAGCTTGCGCAGCTGCGAGCGCAGGTCGTCGCTGACGTCATCGCCCGGCTCCGCCCGGCCCCCCAGCCGCCCTGCGGCAGCACCGGCGTCGCTCGTACCGCCAGTCAAAGAAGCGCCTGTGGGTTTGACCGGGGCTTGCGCGCCTCCCGGTCCATTGGGTGGCGCATCGGCCGGTGCAGGGCCGCCCGGCGCGGGCGTGCTGCCCTGCCGCACAAACCTCCGCAGGATGTCAAAGCCTGCGTCGGCAGCACCGTGACGCGGCATTGTCATCAGCGCCGTCGTGCAATGCGGCAGCTGGCCCTCTGAAACCGGCGGCCGCCGTGCATGCATCTACCCTGCATACAAGAGCCAGCCAGTCGGCCCCTGCCAGTTTCTTGGCCAGGGTTCAGGCTTCAAAATCCTCGTCATTGAAAACCCCAGGGTTTTGAACCCTCAAGCTCACACGCGCGGATCGTCATCAGATCTCCCCCCGCCGCGAGGGCCGTGCCCTCGCCGCCGTCCGCGCAGAAGGCCGCCACCTGCGCCTCCAGGCGCGCCAGCTCGTCCGGCGTGAGGGGGCCGCGCTCGGGGCCGCCCCTCAGCAGGTGGAGCTCGTCCTTGAGGTCGCGGATCTGGGGACAGCGAGGCATTGTCACCCGGTGAGCTTTTGGTGAAGGCGGCTTGTTCAACACTGGGGGCTGTCTTTGCCTAGTGAGGCTCCAAGCAGTGGGTGACCAGACTCATGGCGGGCCGTCTGCAGCAGCTGTTCAAGCGCGCCTGCATGCAGGCGGCCATGCATGCAGGCGGCATCCTCGTCCCCTGGCCAACACGGTGTTGAGCGATCAACCCTCACGGCTGCCCCCCTCCCCATTGCGTGCCAGGAAGTTGGCTCTCAAAGACAAACGACTCAAGCACAAACGCCCCACCTCCTGCTTCAGGCGCCGTATAATGGCGGCGGGGTCGAGCTCCTCGTTGACGCGCAGCTCATTAGTCACCATGGCCACGCGCTGCGCGAAGCGGCACGTGCTGATGGACTCGTCGAGCTGCGCATCGTGGGGGCGCGTGGTGGGGCAGCGGGCAATCAGGTTGTCGTCACAGCGAGGTCGGTTGTCGATGAGATGACACGATCGGGGCTGCTGGAGTCAGAGAGCAAGTGCTTCCTGTGAAGGCCAGGTGAAATGTGTTGCCAAGAGCAAGAAGCGAGCAAGGCGATTTTGACACGCAACGGCGCCGCACGTGCAGCAAAGCGCCATGATTTGTACTGTATTGGGTGTGTGTGTGTGGGCGGGGGGTATGGTTGTGTGGGGGGCAAGGGGGTAGAGTATGTGTATGTATGTCCCGACCAGCCTTGCCTGCGCCTGCTCTGAATTGACGGTCGCAACCATGACTGTGCGGCAGTTGCCGCCCAGCGAGTCGCGCAACACCATGGTCATGAGGGAGTTGCGGTACGGCACATGAACCCTGCGATTGTGTGTTGGTTTGTATGCGTGTGTGCGTGTGTGCGTGTGTGCATGTGTGTGCACGCGTGCACGCGCACGTGCACATATGTATGCACGTGAGAGGATAGCAAGGCCATAGTTTGCCCACATAAGCTGCGAAGCCCTAAAAGCACCAGTCAAAAGCAGGCGAGAGCCCGCCGCGTCAACCCAACCCGGTGTTCTCAGGAATGTTGCACCAACCGGCTGCAAGCTACCATAATGGTTCAGCCACCGGGCTGGCCATGCCAGGGAGGCGGGCGACCCTCACCTGCCTATGCCGGCGCTCATCTCCTGCAGCGCAACAATGACCTGCTCCAGGTAGTGCAGGGACAGGTTGATGTACCTGCCAGTGGGGGGTCACACATGCGCGCTCCCCTCACATGCAAGAATCTCCCGCCGTACAGCGGGCACGCTCTGAGTCCCATGCACATTTGCATGGGACTCAGAGCGAGCCCTCAAAACGCTGCTTCTTTGGCAGCTGAGGCAAGGCCGGCGCGATCGCTGGCTGGGATGGGCAGGGGCCGAAGGTAGCTGGGACAGCGCAAGGATTGTCCGCGCAGCAGGGTGATATGATACCCATCACGGCTGCGCCGCACCCATGCGCCGCACGCGCAACACGCCCGGCCTTGCTGGGCAGGCCAGCACCACCCGCGCTGCTGCGGCTGTTTGTTCTGCAATACCGCCCCTTCTCGTCCTACCCCTAGCCCACCTTGCCTCCTTCAGGACCGCCCCCTCTGACCCAGTCTTGCCCACCCTCTCAGACCCCGCCAGGTCCACCAAGTTGAGCTTTGACCGCCGCACACGCGCGTCGAGCGCGCCGCCGCCGCCGCCGCCCCGCCGCCGCGCCTCGAGGGATACCGTGAAGACGCAGTGGGAGCGCGACGACGCCTGGTTCATGGGGGTCTCGCTGATGGTGCGGTTGGTGTCCCCCAGGAACAACTGTTTTGTGTGTGTGATTGTGTGCGTTTGTGTGTGTGTGTGAGAGAGATGGGGTGTGTACATGTGTGTATGTGTGATATGGTGTGAGCCTCAATGTATGTGATGGTGTAGAATGTTGTGTGGAGAAGGAGCCAATGGATTGGGGGAGCATTCAAGGCGCCTGGCTGGTCTGTCAGGGCTTGGGCGGCCTCGGATGCGCCTGCTTGGGCTTTGCAGGCGGGTGCTACGCAGAGCAAACTGACAACGCGTACGTAGCCGCCGGGATCCCTCTGCCAGCCGGCTTTCGCACACACTCACAGCCAACGTTTGCGTATTATTGTGCCTGATCGCTGCGCAGCCAACCCCGTGCAATTGCCAGAGCACCTGGGTGCGAGCGAGGCGGCCCCCCTGCCCATCCCATTTGCACCCTCTGAGCGCACGCACCAGGTTGAGCGCCTCCTCCTCAGACGCGGCCCGGTGGGTGGACAGGTTGCGAAGGTGGATGCGCCCCTCCTCGTCTTCCTGGATCGTGACCTGCGCGTTCAAATGGGGGCCGCGACAGGTGGCGGGGGATTGAGCGATCCAGCTTGTGCACGTCCATGCTAGCCACGCTTGCTGGCTGCTCGCGGGGCGCCCTCCACATGCTGCCCCTGATCACCACGCCTTCTACTATTCAATAAACAAACCAAACAAGCTCCCCTTCCGGCGCCTCACACAAGATCACCCTCCACCAGGCCGGCCGCCTCGCCCAGCAAGCAAAGCGGCCCAGACCACGCCCTCGCCTGCGGCATGTCCTCGAGCTGCGCCACCTCCCGCGCCGGGTCAAGCAGGTCGTACCCAACCTCGTTGTAGATTTCGAGGTACGACACCAGCACCTGGGGTGGCGTAAATATTGAGCCGTGGACAGGCACGAGGTTGCATGAGACGAGGCGGCTTGCTGGCAATATGCTCTGAGCCTTTTTGCGTCTGCGGCTTTTAAACAACGCTGAGCATTAGAGGTCCGGCGTCGCACACACGCAGGCGGCAGCTGGGCCGCGCTGGCTTCGAAACCTATGCATTGCGGCGCGCCCGCCCCACCTGGTACTCAAAGTCGGCCCGCTGTGCTATCTCTGCGTACATTGCGCTGAGCGCCCTGGGGATGACGCCGCGGTCGGCGTAGCGCTCCGCGCCGCCGGTGATGGTGAAGGTCTTGCCGCTGCCCGTCTGGCCGTATGCAAACAGGGTCGCGTTGTACCTGTGCTCAGGGGTCCCGAGTACGCCATGCACGTGGGTTTAATGTGCTGAGTAATACGGTATTGCGGGACGCTTCAGACGTGGAAAGGTGGGGGCCAAGCAGTCGCGCGGCACGCGCGCCTGCTGTACAGAGGTTCAGGTGTCTCTGCTGCTCAACAACAGCAACCGGCTGCGATCGTCGGCTTGTAAGGGGATGACGTGACGGCTGACACCAATACCCGGGCCCGCCCCCGCGTGGCACCCACCCCTCGAGGGCGGCGCCGACCAGGGGCCGCGCGGTGCGCTCGAACACCTCGTCCTGCTTTGCATCCGGCAGCAGCACGCCGTCAAACTGGAAGCGGAACCGCTCGCGCGAGTTGTTGACCGGCCTGATTTGGAGGGCAGCATACAGGTGTACGCGCAGGGGTTGGGCCGTCGCTGTTGGTGCCGGCCCCGCTGGGCGCGTCTGGTGGTCATCCCGGCGCAACGCAAGCGGCGGCGCTGCGTCGATGCATCCGCACAACTCGTCAGGCCACACCCGCCGGGGTGGCTTTGCTCCAGGGACCCTATGACAAACTCAGGGCGCCGCACCCCGCGACAGCGTCCTTTGGAATGTTGAACTCGACACTGCCGTCGGCCGCATCTAGCAGCAGCCGAGGGGACGGCCGCGCGACCGGTCGCACGCGCAGGAAGATAGAGATGTTGCTGGCCGCAACGTTGCGGGCGTCGCCGGCACCGACGAGGGCGCTGCTGCTGCTGCTGCTGCCGGCCAACCCAGACCTGTCCGGCTCATCGCGGCTGTCGTGACTCGCAGAGTTTTGATGTTCGTGCGCCGGGTCTCCAGTGCGGTCGACAGCAGCTGCAGCGGCACCGCGGAACAGTCCACGCCGCTGCTCCTCCGCGACTGCACCATCGGCTCTGCTGCTGCCGCCGCCGCTCAGCTCCATCGATTGCACGGCGTGGACTGGATCAGCTCCTAAAGCTCTGGTCCTTCGCACTTGCGAGAGCCGCTGGTCAAGAGGCTATGCATCAGTGCATGCTGGTCAAGAGTGCCCGATGTGCGCCTGCCAGATCAGTGTTCATTCCCCTCATGGACCGGCAGCAAAAAACACGCGTCAAACTGCAAAAGCTGTCGTGTCAGCGAATCGCATGCAAACTCGACAACTTTACTAAACGGCACACTCCTTACTCATGCCCCGAAGCTGCCCCACACTGGGCCACAACCGCGGCGTCACACCCGAGCTTGACTCCGCGCCAGAGCCAGCGAGACGCACATTCAAGTAGGTTGGCTATCAGTGGCCTCGCAGGGCGGACCAGGCACTGCGTGTGCAGTTCTTCGTTGACTATGGTTGGTGCCGAGCCTAGCTCTCCCTGACGGCCGGGAGGCATGTGGCAGTCTCACGGCAGTATGATGGGTAATCTAGGCCCCGGCCAGGCAGGCGGCGGGCCTTTTGGGGCAGGCCCTGGCCAGGGCCCCGATTCGCTGCAGATCGACGTCGGGTTCCCGGTGTATGACAACTTCCTGGTGCCAGGCAGCAGGCAGCAGACTCATCAGGGTGCCAAGCAGCATGGCGCGCCGCGGAGGCCCGATCGGGGCAGCTCGGGTGAGTTTGCCCGCCAAAGTTTTGGCCGCCCCGCGGGCCGCAAGCGTGGGCTCCCCTCTGAGCAACTTCACGTGTATCCCAAGCAGGGAGACGTCAGAAGAACTACCGCAGGCTATGGGAGCAGATCAAGGCTGTGGGCCGGGGGGATTGTCTAGACGCGGACGGCCGCGGGGGTCTCCCAGGACCCGAACTCTCCGTCGAGGAGCTTGTCCGCCTGGTAGCCAGGCTGCCGCCGGACGCCCCGTGCGTGCCGCACGTGGGGCCGTCGTTGCAGTACCTCGACAGCCGGGCCTTTGCCGCGTTCATGAAGGACCTGGCCAAGAACGGCCACGTCGCGCGCGCGATGGAGCTCTTTGATTGGATCAAGGATCTCAGCCCTGTGCACGACCTGGCGGCGCTTGCAGATGTCTACAGTGAGCATAAAGGGGCTGGGACGCATGATCAATCAAAATGGTGGCGGTTGGGCGGCCCGGAGGCCGCGCGCGTATAGCCAGAGCGCTGGCGGCCTGCAATCGCCGGTCTTCACTCCCTTGAAACACGCAGCTGATTGCAGAGTACAGATCGCGCCAGTAGGGGAGCCGCTGCTTTGACTTGGCACCTGGCCGGCGCGGTCAAACACGGGCGCAGTTGGATCGCAGGGAAGCCGCACCACACGCGCTGGCGTGCGCTAGCAGCGAGCGCCTGGGCCTACCCATCGATGTCCTCTGACTGTCAATCAAGTACGCATCTGTGCGCCTCCCCCCCCCCCCTCGCCACGCGCACTCCGCAGCGTACACCACCGCCATCAACAACGCCGGCCAGGCGCAGCAGCTGCGCCGCGCGCTCGAGCTGGTGGGGGAGATGCGCACGCGGGGCATCCAGTGCAACGTGCACACTTACAGCGCGCTTATGAATGTGTGCATCAAGGTGAGTGGGCACGACGGCGCACGTCGTGGCAGCGGCTGCCTGCTAGTGGGCTGCTGCGGACGCTGCGTTGAAGGGCGCGAGGCATGAGGGTCGCAGCAGTAAGTGGTGGCTGCAGCAACCGGGTAAACGGTGGCTGAGAGCGGCGCGCGGCTGGCGCAGCCCCCCAGCAGCGGCGGCAGGAGCAGCAGCAACGCGGCGCCCGGCCCCACCACCTCCCAACCGCGCCTGCCCTGGCGCCACGCCGCACCCGGCCCCGCCCCGCCAGTGCGACGCCTGCGAGCTGGCGCTCGACGTCTTCAAGGAGATGCGCGCCGACGGCGTGCGGCCCAACGTGGTGACCTACAACACCCTTGTCGACGTGTTCGGCAAGATCGGGCAGTGGGAGCGCGCCGTGCGCGTGCTCGACGACATGTCGCAGGACGTGAGCAGGCCGGGGCGGGCGGGGAACGGGCGGGAGCCGCGCGGCCCGCGGCGGGCGGGGCGCCTGGGGGCACGGTCGAGCTGGTCGGCGCCGGGCGTCGGCCGCGAGCCCGGCGGGGGGCCCACGAGCGCGGCGCTGATGTTCCTTTTGTTCCGCACGGACAGGGGCTGGAGCCGGAGGTGCGGACGTTCAACACAGCGATCATCGCCTGCAACATGTGCGGCCAGCCGCTGGAGGCGCTCAAGGTGGGGCCGCGGCGCGGCGCGGGGCGTCGTTCGGGCCCCTGGGACGGGCGCCCCGCCTTGCCTTTTCCCTTGCAAGCACGCGTGTGCGCAGGAGCAGCGGCGCCGGCCGTGCCGGCCCTGCCCGACATGCGTGCGCGCCGTACCGCGGTTTACGCCGGCCCCGCCAGGTGTACCAGCGGCTGCTGGAGGCGGGCCTGCAGCCAATCAGCACCACCTACACCGCGCTCATCAGCGCCTACGCAAAGGGCGGCAACCTGGACCGCGCCCTGGACACGTTCAAGCAGATGGTGCGCGTGCGCGCGCAGGGCCGTCTGCGGGGCCCGCAGTGCTGGGCAGACTCTGAAAGGGGTCGGGTTGGGGGTTGCGGGCTGGGTTGCTTCTGCTGGGCCCATCATGCGGCCTGGTGCCAGGCGCAGCGGGGCCCCACTGGCGCTGGCTTCTGCGGTGTAAATGCAAGCTCCGCCGAGCCTCGACCAAAGTTGCCGTCGCCGCGCCCCTTGCGCCTGCGTTTTCGGCCGCAGGTGCGCGAGGGCTGCGAGCGCAGCGTGATCACCTACAGCGCGCTGATCAACGCCTGCGAGAAGGCCAGCCAGTGGGAGCTAGCGCTGCAGCTGTTTGAGCGCATGCAGCAGGAGGGCATCGCGCCCAACACGGTCACGTACAACTCCCTCATCACAGCCTGCACGCAGGGTGAGGACGGCACGGGCTGTGCAGGCGACCGGGAGCGGTCGCATCGGCATACCACCCCTGGCTGCGGCTGCACCTGTGACGCGCGGCCCGCTGCCTCAGCCCTTCCCCAATTTGACCCTTGCCGCCCCTCTTGACCTCCTTTTTGACTGTTTCATCCTTGACTCCGCCTGGGCTATCTCGCTCACCTGATATGCTCCGCCTTGCTCCCTCTAACCAACTTCCCCATGAACAGGCAGCCAGTGGGAGAAGGCGTCCGAGGTTTTTGACCACATGCGCTTCCACAACTGCCGCCCCGACACGGTCACCTACTCCGCGCTCATCGGGGCCCTGGAGAAGGGCGGCCAGTGGCTGCGCGCCGTCAAGGCGTTTGAGCAGATGCAGGGGCAGGGCTGCCGGCCCGACAGCAGCATCTACCAGTCCATGGTTGACATGCTCTGGCAGAGCGGCGTCGCGTGGCTGCAGGCGCGCGCGCTGCAGCTGTACGCGGCGGCCGCGCGCAGCTGGCAATTCCGGTTCACGGTGCAGCAGGCGAGCCCGGCGGATGCCGGGCTGGTTGAATTCATAGTGCCGGCCTCCACGGCCAGCGTGGCGGTGCTCAGCACGCAGCGCTGGCTCGTCGAGCTCCGTGCGGCGCTCGACCGCGACGGCGCGCTGCTGCTCTCGGGCGGCGGCAGCGGCGGCGCGTGCGAGCGCGTCGCGGTCAGCCTGGGGCGCGGGCGGCACACGCGGGAGCAGGGGTGCGGCAACATCCGGCGCGCGCTGTTTGCGTTGCTGGAGGCGTTGGGCGCACCGCTCAGGTGTGTGTGCGGGCAAGTTGTTACCGGTTGGGGCAGAAACGCACATGCTTGCCACATAGTTTATACATGGCCGGCATGCGCAGGAAGCATATAAGCAAACGGGGAGATTCTCGAGCGACTCCATTAACGCGACGCGCGCGTGCTGTGGGAAAGACGTTGTGCACACGCCGCTGCAACCATCCCCTGTCGGGCGAGCTGACGCTAAGGCCGCCCCTCTCACAACGAATTGGGCGCATTCGCGCAGGCCGACGGAGCCCGGCGCGGCGGGTGGCGCCGTGACCCTTGAGGCTCCTATGGCCGCCTTCACCCAGTGGCTCGCCGGCCCCGACCTGCCGCAGGCGCTCAGCGCGCTGCTG